CCCCAAAACCCCAAAACCCCAAAACCCCAAATAATATAAATTTTTTTGAGCTAAATTTTAAATATTAGATATTCCAGAAATACAAAATTACACAAATAATTTAGTCTAAAATGAAGTACAGAAAATGAATCCCTGTTCCTTCAGAAAACAAGGAACAAGAACAAGAAAAATGAGATGCGTCGGAGAATCTATCAGAGAACTACTCAACGAGTGATGTGATTGAGAACACACAAAGCTGTGTTAATTCAGTACTCACTCAAGAGAGCAAGCCAAAGCGTTTAATTGCCAAAGATGATTCACAGGAAACTTACTGGATGAATAGAAAGAGAGTTATACTCGAGCAAAGCACTGAAGTTAAGATAAGCTTTGATCCAGACACTCCTTTAGATGAACTTGAAGATGGCTCAGATTCTGAAGAAGAAATGAAAAATAAGCTTGATAGTAAGGGTGCAGGAGACATTTTAATGAAGAAAGAAAATTCTATTGAGCAAGCATCGTCAAGCAATAAAGATTCTAATAACGAAAATGACAAGAAAAATAGTTCGATTGAAGAGACTAAGAAGGATACAGAGATGGAATTTTGAGAAGACTCTAAAATGAAAGAAATAACTGACACTAAGTTAAGCCCTCCATCTAATTTAACATGTAAACTTCCAAAAGGATCCCATTCAAAAACTCATGAGTCTTCTTCTCTTGAGATGGCAAATGATTCGCATCAACATAACTCAGAAGAGATTTGTTCAGGAAGAGAGTCACACAAGGGTTGAGAAAAACAATTCAATCCAGTAGTTAACACTCGTGAAGAATCTAAACTTCAACCTCATCATCATGAACTTAGAGTTTCTGCAAAAGAACCAAGAAATAGAGATAGAAATAAGCTAGAAATAAATGCAAGCAAAACCAATGGAATATAAATTATAATAACAGAATATCAAGGAATCAAAAAAGAGTAATCCCTGAAAAAGAAGATGACTCTGAAGGAAAAGATTACTCTAAAGAAGACGACTCTGAAGAAAAAGACTACTCCAAAGATATTAAAAAAGACGAAAACGCATCAGACGCTTCATCTCCACCAAAAGAACCTCCAAACCCATCAAAATCCTCCAAAAACACCCCAATACCCCTCTCCTCCCCCACTCCCTCTCCTCCCCACCACAAACCCCTCCCTTCCTCCCCTCCCCTCCTCCCCCCTTCCAAACCCCACCGCCTTCCCAAAAGAACCTACTTCCGTCCCAAAGTCACCCACCACCCTCCTCGCCCACTCACCTCCACAACCCTCGCTTCCATCTCCCTCACCCCTCCCACCCCCACTCTCCCATCCCTCTCCGACCTCTCCGGCACCATCCACCCCTTACCCACCTACAGCTCCCCCTTCTCTTCCTTCTTCACACCCACAAAATGCCCTAAAACCTACAAACTCCTCTACACAGCCCCTTCCTACCAGCCTTCCTCCCCCTTCTTCACCAGCCTCTGCTGGCGAACCAGGGGGAGTCCCCCCTGGTTCGACCTAGTGGCTATAGCAGAGGACGTGGCTGGAGAAGCAGGGCTGGAAGTTATAGAAGAAGATGTGGTCAGGAATTTGGTGTATTTTTTAGGGAATGTACTGGAATTTGAGAAGCCGCAGATTTTGTTAGGGGGATTTGAGGGGTTGGAGAGGTGGAGGGGGGAGAAAGTGGGGGTGAAGAAGCAGAGGTTTTAGGGAAGAGGGCAGGAGGGATAGAGTGGTGATAGGGAATTTGAGGAAGGTGATTGAAGTGTTTTGTAGGAAGGAGGAGTATGCAGAGGGGATACAGAGAGTGGTGGAAGAGGGAGATGGGGTTTTTAGAGAGGGGGTTAGTGATGAGGAGCAGGAGGAATATGTGACTGATTGATTGAGGATGTTTAGAGAAGAGGATATGGAGATTGAGAATTGATTTAGGATCCTTATGGTGTTTTTTATGCTCTCAGAGCACTATTTTTTCCCATTGAATTTATGAAGACGGATGGATGAGTGGAAAAAAATATCTAAGGCGAATAATATGTATATTTTTAATTCTCCTGACAATTGTGATGATGAGGAAAGGGAAGAATGTAAGGAAGATGATCAAAAGCAAAATCAAGTTGAGGATAAGAAGGAACTTCTGGCAATAGAATGTGAACAAAATAAAAAAGACCACGAAAAACCAAAAGATGAAAATCCTCAGAAAAAAGAAATCCAAGATCCTATTTTATCTACTAATGAGAAAGAAGAGTCATCCGGATCATCGAGTTCCTCTCTTGGTTTACTAAAATTAACCCCTCGCGCATCCCCTCCAAACACTCCGGCTCATCAAGCTACTCCAATCAACCTCAAACTGACACAAACACAAGAAATCGACATCACAAAATCCCCATACCAAGGCTTCAACGACCTCATCCCTTCCCCTCGAGCAGGAGGTGAGCCCCCTTCAGAACTAATGCAGCCCTCTATCGATCCTGAAATCCCTCTGACAACCATAATCACCCCTAACCACACTCCTCTCAGACCCAAAAAGCCACCCAAAAAACCAGCCAAAAAACCCTCCATAAAAGTGACGAAAGAACCCTCCAAAAAAGTGACTAAAAAGCCTTCCAAAAAAGGCACTAAGCTCAAAGCCGTAGTCGTCAAGAGGGTGAGAAAAGTGAAGAAAAGGAGTAAATCTCCTCTGCCGTTTAAGAAGAGCAAGAGGGCTAAAAAGTAGATTTTAGAGTGGTTTTTAATAAATTTTTATAAGGTTTTGGATTGAAATTTTGGGGTTAAATGTTGTGGATTGGGGTTTTGGGGTTTTGGGGTTTTGGGGTTTTGGGG